CGCTTAAAATTTCAAATCTTATTCCGTCTGCATTTTATCCGCCTCAACGATTACGCTTTATCGCGTAATTGAAATAATTGCAAACGACAAACGTACATATTAACTCTCACTTTCAATTACGCAACTCTCGTAGCAAGTATGGAACAAATAATCGATTGCTTTTCTTTATGAATATAACGCGCTTTTTCAGCCAATAATTAGCGGCGTCTGGCATCCGGAATCGTATTTCTAGTATTTAACACGACTGACCACCATCCCTCGGAGAGTTATCGCGTTAATCCTCGAGTAATATTTTACTGGAAAATCTCGGTGATATTTTCCGTGGCAGTAACGTAGAGGATGACAAATGACGCTCGCTGCCAGTACGGTTAATTGTCGGCTTTGTACTGCAACATGGTTATTACGTACACACTGCAGTTTCTACGCTCGCGATGTGGAGGATACAGGCGAGAATCGCCACGACGAGGACAACGATTCTTCGCGTTGCTTTAGGACTCCTAAAACCGTGCCACTTGGACATATGTATTTACTTACTTACGTAGTCGATGGCTAGAAACGACCGTTCACGCTTCCACCATATGTATAGTTCAACATTCGATACGTTTATGCTACTCCACGTAGACGTCTATTGCAAAAGAATGTTCTTTTTAGATGTGGATTAATTTACAAATTTGTTGTATCGAACGAAAGAAGAGAAAACTGAAAGACTACCAATGGAATATGCGTGGATTGTTTCTTCGTAGATGATATAATGTTCGATCGACGATACAGACGATGATCGTTGGAAATGTTTCGTGATCTTAGAAACACTTATGACGTTATCGACTATATCCATTTTTTGTCCAGCTTTTCAAGATTTTCAAGTAATCGAACGTTTCGTAGATGAAAAATCACCAGCGGGCCGTTTAATTCGCGGGTTCGTCTCCTTGCCTCTTCTTTTTTGTCATTTTTCCTCTGGCACATTTCCCTTTATACTTTTTCTAATCGTACCCTTTCTTCCATCTGATATTCTGAATATTTCCTTCTCTATCCTCGGGCTAAACGTTCTATTCTGGTTTCGTGTTCGAAATTAAGACTGTTGCAGTCTTTCTCCTCTTCTATTTCCTACCGCTTTTTTTTTCTTTCTCCGATGTACCTACTCGTGGCGAAATGTAAAAGAAAATAATATAGTAGAAAGAGAAAAGTAGGCTGAATAAGATAATATATAACATTTTTCAAGAATGTCGAATACCATATCTTTGGCAGTTAAGTTTGTACAACATTTACAAATTTAACTGGATAAACCACGCGGTAGCTAATATTTTCTTGCAGTACCTATTCTATTCAAAGTTATTTTCAAATATTTTCGTGGCAATCTTTATACTCTTATTCTTATTTATAAAAGAATGTGCTGCCACCTGTCGGCGGTTGCTTAAACAGGCTGTTTACACATACAAAGTGATGGAAGAAGAAATCATTTGGGCAACTGTAAAACGGAATTTTGGAAATAATCTTTTCATGCTTCGAAAGTATCTAAGATAAACAAATGGCGTTCTACGATAACGAACATTGGCTTTTATCACATATTAGAGATAGTTTTTTATCAACCGACAATACAGGTACATACTAGATTCTATTTAGGTTAAAAATGAACTGTAAACTTCCTCCTGTGATGTTTCTAAAAGGTCAATGTGAAATGGTGATGCTTGGAGAAGATATACCTAAACAACTAAGATCCAATGGAATGTTACAATGTTATCCTGGCATGGAAGAAAGCGACGACGAAGATCTAGATGCTCTCGCAGAATCCTATGACATACAAATGGGTAAATTTAAAAAAGAGAAAAAATAAAAAGTATTTTTTCTATAAAAGATGACGCTACTTGATTTTATAACCAGAAAGCAAAAATATCTGAAATTTGTTTGACATAAATATATATACTTTAGATCTGTGATTTTAATGTTGATATAGATATGGAATACAGTCACAGAGAACGCACTAATACCGCGCAAAGATTAGAGAAAATGGATCTTGAAAGGGAAAAGGCTGCTAAAGTCAGTGTAAAGTGGAGAAATGATTCTGTTATACCTGTTACTCAACAAACAGAATTATTTCAAAGGAAGGATTTTCGTAAAAAGACTGGCCAAACTAAAAGATATTCTCTCTTGTCTGAACAACTTGAAAAGTGTCCAAATGTACCACAAAATCCATTTATAGAATACGCCAAGTTTGACGGCAGCGTATGTGTTAATAAATTTTGCAAATTTTAATGAATTTGCTGCTTGACGATACCACTTATATGAATTTTATTGCAGGCACAAGTAGATATTCCTATAAGAAAGTACAGGATATTTATGTGTATGTTACCTAAAAATCAAAGAACTTATCCCATTCATATACTTGTACTTGCTACGGCAAAAGTGCTAGAATTTATTGGATTAATTTGCTATAAATATGCGAATGAACATCCAGATCACCCTTTAAAGTAATTACACTAATGAATTCTGTAGTAGTTTGTGTTGTTCGGTTTATATTTAACCAATACAAACTACGCTGATTCTTTGATGTTTTCAGGGATGATATCACAAGATATGGCTTATATTTTACTGAAGATGATGGAGAAGTTGACTGGGATTTACCGTGCTTGGATCCTAGGGAAACGATATCTAAATTTGAATTCACAACGTTAGGTCTTGCCGAAATGAAACCCAGCGATAGGGCGCGACACAACGTGTTTAATTGGGTTGAATTAACTAACGAGGAAGATTTTCTAGAAGGTCAAAACGAAGAAGAAGAAGTTGCTGAAGATTTAGCAAAAATGGAAGGACATACGACTGCTATGGAAGCTCCGTTGTATCAGTCGTACAGGTATTTCTTATTTATTAGAATCGTAAAATAACTTGCAAGTAATATGTAACATTTTATATAGGGTATACATAATTAATAAAGTCAGGACAAAGACTGAAATATATCTAGGAATATCTGGTGAAAAAATTGAAATCAATCCAATAATAACAGGGAAAGGTGCAGGACGCTTTTGGAATAGGCAAAGAGCTGTTAGTTATCAAATAGACAATATTGCTTGGTGCGAAGTGACAGAAACAAAGGGAACGAAAACAATTTTTACGTTAGTTTATACACCACACACGTCTACTTCCGAAAATATTTTAGGTTGGTCTAGTTTAAACATTTTATGTAACGTAAACAAATTGCCCAAGAAACGGACATAATGCTAAGAAATATCATCCTTTCGCAGTACCCTCTGGACAGTTGCATTCTCTGCATCAATCAGCATCGTTTAAAAACCATGAATTTGAAGCCGATTCGATGACAGCTGAAGAAATTGTCAGAAAAATAAATCATATATTGGAATTACACAATAGCATATCAAGAAAAGAATATCTATCTCAGAAAGAAAGAAAAGCGGCGAGACGGAAAAGTTTTCATTTGCATAGATGACAGCTCTATTGGTTTCTATATTCTATTTTAAATTATTTAAAACATTAATTATGTCAATGTGATAAAACAAATATTTACTTCAATACACGTATGATCCTATTGTCATTTTAATGGTTGCACCATAAATCTCTCGTACCAAGATAAAATTTTTATACTTTGAGTATTTAAGTAGTAAACGATATTCTTATTTGTCCAGTTATTTATTCTTGTTTAGAATGTGAATATATGTATATTTATTTATTTATTTATTTATTTTATGTATATTTGTATTTATTTTAATATCTACTGAGGTAAAAAAATTATACATTTGCATTATGTCAATAATTAATCTTGTGTCAAAAATTATTTACAATATGCAATGGTATTTCTAATGTCATGAGTCTAACATCTCAATAATTTTGTCATTAACTTTACACAGTCTTCTTTCCATTTGCCGAACAAATCTTTGATTTAATTTGTAAGTTAGATTATACAATACTGATGTCTTTGCAACTATATCTGACAGCTTTTTATAATTTCTGTAAATATGTTGATAATTTGGCCGGGCTGTAACAAAGGCTTTCTCATATTCTGCTAAAACATTCAAATCTAAAAGTTGTCCTCGATTCTCTGAATGCAATTTTTGCTTTGCAAGATTTTTTCGTTGTACTTTCCTTTGCTTTAATGTCTCTATCCATTCTTTTCTTTCATTTCTTAAATTAATTATATATTCTTCTAAATCTATAGGTTTTTCTGCCGATATTTTAGATACGCATTTTATTGCATCTTCAGCATCAACAGTTTTTCCATCTTCTACACACTGTGTACCTTCAATTGTAAAATATCATTTATTAAAATGCATGGTCGATCAAAAATTAATTTTCCCGATAATTTATTATTGTGTGAAATCTTACTGAAATGATGTGTTATTAATATTTTTTAAATATTGTAAAGTTCCGTACAAAAAATAGGATAAATTAACTAACCTTCATGTTCGTTAAATGTAATTGTACGACTTTGAAAAATAGAAGATCGTCGTTTATGAACAGTTTTCGTACATTCTGAGTTCGTCTCTGAATGCGATGCGTCCACTGGATGAAAATGATCCATTTTATCAATTAAATATAATTCCTATAGAAAAACAGTTTACAGCCCCGACAAAGATTCAGTTGAATTTCAAATGAACCAATCACAACGCAGTATTAAAGATGCATTTAGTAAACCGTATAAGAAATAGCATAAACTTATAATTTCTTATTCTATTATTACAAAATTCTATCAAAATATTTTCATATGATCTCTTCGTGAAATTTAAAAATATCACCTTCGTAATGCAAGAATTATAGTATTTCAAATACAGATTTTAGGTTAAAGGTTAGAAGAAGAATATTAATCGATCATCATTAATCTATTGATAAACTAAATTGATTTAATTTGTGCTTATATGTTAAAAAACAAATAGAAACAAATATCCTATACTTCTTCAAAAATTCTGAATATTAGATATATTATATATTATACTAATTATAAATTTTACTTAACATTGAATCAATATTTTATTAGTAAAAAATTTTCAGTTTTACTAAAAGGTTCTAAAAAAGTTTATCTATCTTGCTCAAAAACATGTGTTTTTCTTTAAAAAATATCTGTAATATTATTCAAGCTAAAAAGAAATTTGCCTACATATTATAGAAAAATTTTGAACTCTCCAGAAATTTCTACTGAGTGTACAGTGTGTAGTTTGCAGTCGATTCGTCGATTCTCAACAGTCGAGACAAATTTGTAACGAACGAGGTGTTATAGTCAAGAAACATTGAATTATACGATTTTAACGTCATTATCAGTAGGATAATCGAGTGAGTGTTAACTTTCTTTTTTCTTACCATTAAACGTTTAGAAATTCTATTTGTCGCTAATTTTGAAGGAAGAAATGTCGACAAAGGCTGACGAGGTAAGCAATTTTTTAATTTTTCAAATTACTTTTTATATCATCAATGATAAGAAAAATATAATGCTTTTTGTACAACAAAACAATTATCGTATATGTGACTATAGAGAAATACAATTTCGGTATAGTAAAATATTAGAGCGTGCTATCCGCATGTATGTATGTATGTATGGATGTACATCGAAATTACAGTAGAAGTTAATCATGTGAATTTTTTACGAAATTAATAGTGATTGTCCTAAATAGAATTGTTCAAAGGAAATTTTATTGAACATAATCAATACATGGAACAACTGTATTTTGTTTTACAGTTAAAATTGGACATTGAAGAATTTAACAATTTACTTCAAAAAGCTAATCGTCAAAAAAGCAAAGATGTTCTCAGTCTTGAAATTAGGAAGTTGCAAACAGAGTTAGCAAGATTGATAGAAGAAAATCAAATATCTCAGACAAAGCCTGCTGTTGCAGTGTCTAACTCTTCTCAAAAGTGTTATGAAGTTAAACTTAATAACTATGGTTGGGATCAAACAAATACGACAGTAAAATTATACGTCACATTGAAAGATGTGCATCAGTTGGCTAAAGAAGCTGTGACTTGTAACTTTACTGAGAAATCTTTTGATCTCCATATTCTTGGATTGAACAATAAAAATTATAGTTTAACAATTAATAATTTATGCGAAGATATTGATACAGATAAGAGTAGTGTTAGAACCAAGGCTGATATGGTGATAGTATCTCTTATCAAAAAGGTTGCGAAACATTGGTCACATGTAACAAGTGTAGAAAAAAGAATCAAGGAATCAAAGACATCTTCAGCTCCAGATATAAGTGAAGATGGTGACCCCAGCACTAGTTTGATGAATTTAATGAAGAAGATGTATCAAGAAGGAGATGACGAAATAAAAAAGACAATAGCCAAAGCTTGGACAGAAACTCAAGAGAAGAAAGCAGCAGGATTGTCAGACTATTCTTAATTTCATGTCTATAAATATTTAGGTTTATTATTTTTTTAGGTTATTAATGTACAAAATTAAATTGTATTATGTAAAACATTAAAATGTAAAAGTGCTGTAACAATTGTCTGTTTTTTCATTGTTATGTATTGTGACTTCAGATATTCATTGGTTTCATTGCATAACAAGCCTATTGTATAAATGCATAAATATTTCATAAATTTTCAAATTAATGTATTTCGAGTCAAATAAAAAGTTTGATTATATGGATTATTAAGAATTAATGTATTTTGTTTTCTTACAACAATGGTAATAGTATATAGCATACATTTCCGAAATATTTCTATTCCTTATTTACACACCGTAAGCCAATTTACTTCTGTATATTATTAATTCAATAAAAAAGGATTATAAAAAAAAATGTAAATGGTTTCACTAATTCCTTTTACAGTAATTATGATAAATTTATGTAGTGATGCATTTAGAAGTTTCCACTTTTTATAAATGTTGTAATTGATGTTTTTCGCAAACATAACTGTACACCTGAAAAGAATTTTAGAATCCAACTATGTTAATGTTGTATTTTTCAAATAATATTCAATAATACTGTAGGAATAAAGATTCATAAGGATGAGTGATTAGTATATACATTAAGTGTCCAGGGGGTGGCGTTGAAAGGTGTGGTCCCTCTTAGCGCTCAGATTAGACCTGAGGGGTGGCTCCCTCAGCTTGGAAGGGGACACAAGAGTGCTCCGGCAGCAATTCGAAAGGGATCCGGGGGCACTCCTGTTAAACGTTAGATAGGCCACCGTGGGGTTTTAGTCGGTAAGAGTCCGACACCACCCCACCGCTTCCCCCAGAACAGCAGCGGGGTGTCCATGAGGAATTCCCACGTAAAAAAAGAAGTATATACATTGAGTGAAAGAAAACACATATATTATATGAAATACATAAGTTATATGTAACATGTTGATTTGTACATAGCACATATGTGTACAATTTTTTTCTAAAATAAAATTCATAAATATTAGTGCTTGTTTAACATGTAAATTATAATACTGTCAACAAATAAAATACCACATGCGCCCTTTATTTATTTATATTTTGAAATAATATTCTTGTTATCTTTTATACATTTATATTTCTAACAATAAAAAGTCACAAGCTTATAAACAAGATTATTATGTAATATTTCCAATCTAAAATTACAAGAATTCAATATAACTAATGTTAAAAAATTCATGTTATGTAATATTGGAACATTGGATTTAATTACTTATAAATTATAGGAATACATAGTAATTTTAAGAGAAAGTTATACAGCTAACGTTAATAGTTTGAATTTCTTTATCAGTGTTAACTAACATTCATTAGTATATTTAATTACAAATAAAAATAATATCACATAGCATGAATATTTTTACCATACTAACAAGAAACGCTTTTCCAGTGTCATATTTGTGGTATTGCGTGCTTTCATGATTATCATCTGTTTTTATAATGAACAAAACAGTGTTTTACAAAATTTTATTTAAAACGGGTATAGAAGTATAAATAAATAATTTTACTTATTCATACACACATACACACACATTGAATCGCTTGCAGCATTGCACATGAATGGATGAAAATATGAAATAGATACTTAAAAATTTCTATAAAATTTTATGAATAAAATATATTTCATGTAATTTTATAAAACGCACGTAAAATTTTAATTTAGTTTTTTTTTCATTTTGTAAATAACTTCTCTATCTAGTTGAACTATCCGGATCATTTACAAAATTAAAATTATATTTTCCACCCAAACATCTCCATCTTTATAGAAACTGTTCTATTATTTTTTTCAAGCAAAAGAAATTAACATCTGTTTTATACATGTATAAAATCTTGTTTAAGAATGCATTATGATTTACATGTATTTATTATATCAAAGACCATTATATAAATAGTTAGGTGATTCATTAAAAATAAAAACGTTAATAATATAAAATTATTGTAAATATAAATGTATAAATGAAATATATATATATGTATTTATCAAAATATATATATATATATATATATATATATACGATTAGAATTAAAATCTTGGGTTTGTAAAGAAATTTAAAACAGGGAAGTAAAATATGAATTGAAATTAATAATTAATATTATCTGCCCCTATCTCTAACTGTAGCACACATTCGCTACGTGCAATAAATTCTTGATGAAATCCTTGATAAAAATATTAAAAACAAGTCTTTGGTTTACAAGTTAAGACTAAATTGTAATCAAGATGTGAATAATAAGAAAACTATTAATTTACCATGAAATAATTACTGTACTCTAGGAAGAAGTATTTGATTGCACTTCATGACTAGTGGCATGAAAAACTTCCATCATTGCATTTCGTGTCTTTTCTATTAAATCTTCAACATCAGCTGAAGTTAATCCTTCTGTAGATATTGGTGGTAATGTTGTTATAATAACTCGACCTTCATATCATCAATTAGATTATCGCATAAAGTTTTGTATTGAAATAAATATAAATATTTATACATAAAAATGTCTTACCGGCATCGAATCTCTTTTCTTTAGAAGATAGAAAATAATAAGACGAAAATACAACAGGTAATATAGGTAACTGAGCATTGATTGCAACATGAAAGGCACCTTTTTTAAATGAATGAATTTGTCCAGTGTTGCGCCTAGTGCCCTCAGGAAATATCCATAACTTAATCTACATAAAAAGCATGGAAAAATAAGTATTTAGGAAACTGAATATTACCTTTTGCAGAAATTTCTATATAATATATTATATATATATATTATATTATATATATTATATAAATCAAATTACCTTGTCTTCCTTGAGATAGACTGCAGCACTATTTAAAATTGAACGGGCTTTATCTGACTGCATTTTATCTATAAATATCAATCCACAAAGCCAAGCAACTAAACCAAATGGCCATGCATAAAAAATCTGTTTTTTTGCTATAACTGTGCACTTTTGCATTATTGGCCATACTTGGTACATTCCCAGTACATCTAAAGAACTTTGATGATTTGATACTATTATACATGCCCTTTCTTTCTCTAAATGTTCAGTCCCCCTTAATTCCCAACGTAGTCCGATAAGGTGAGCACAAATAGAAAACACAGCCGATCCTAATCTAAAATTATATTTCATATATTTTTTTGAATTAATAAAATATTAATAATTTGTATAATTAATGCAAGGTCTATTGTGTTAGTAACAAAATTATTGACAAATGGTGGATTAGTTTTTAATTTGTAAAAAATGTAGCATATATATTTGTATATGTACATATATACATATAAACATATATATATGTATATATATGTATATATATATATACACACACACACATACACACACACACACACACATATATATACATACGTGTGTGTGTGTGTGTATATATATATATGTATATATATATATATATCTCATTTTTATAAATCATTTTAATTATCTTTTTTTATTAGATTGTTCATTACTATATAATATTATATAAATATATGTTAAAGAATCAAATACAAATATAATAAAAATTATGTACAGAATAAATGAGTGATTATAATAAAACTGAAACTTCAATACAATGTTAATTAAAATGTTTACATGTTATTTTATTAAAGAATACATTTCAATAAATAAACTTTACACATATTTTTGCAAATTTAACAATAAAAATAAAAATTTTATTTTATGTTTACAAACGATATTATTATGTATTACTTAAAAAAATTAATTTTACAATTCACATTATTTTCCAATCTAAATTTACGCATTTATGTGGCATATCTGGGGTGAGAATTCCAAGTTATTTAAAAAAACGTCATCGCTGTATCGGGATTGTTATCCATATGCTATATCACCATCGTTCAATAAATTTGTCCTATTAGTTTGAACAAAATTAATCAGAATGAAAATATAAGCAATAGAACATAATTAAATAGAAAAACAAGAGAACGGAACATAGAAATATAACAAGATAGATAACATTCATATTTTCAAAATTGGTGTAATTACTAACAAATAATTTTTCACGTTCTTCGGTCGAAAGACCACAATCGGGAGGAGGATTAATGAATTCAGCATTGCAATTCCATAATAGAGAAAAAACTTGAGGTAATAACGAAAGGTTCTGCTCACTTCATATAATACAGGTATCAGAAGAAAGAGACCGACTAGGATCACCTCGAAACACGAAGGTGCCATCTTTTATGGCGAGAAAGGGCGAATACTATACCTAATATTTTCTTTATACTACACCAGCGAAATCAGTATTACACTTTTCTGCACTATCTTACGTAGTTCTAAAGATTTTCAACTACTGTAGGATTTTACGAGGAAGCCACGCCTTTTATGCATTAATCACAAACACATAGCTTATTTTTTAACAAAGCTACTCTTTTAGCTTTGTACTATATACAGATTGCGAAAATACAAGGCACACCTACGACTGGCCACGAGCACGAGGTTTGCTACCTACTGCCGAAATTGATTCAGGGCGAACCACGGGCTAACGATTGTCGATTTTTTGGTGAGATAAAACACAAGTGCCTTGCAGCTCGCAACTATGTACAGAGTGCAAACTTTGTTCTCAATATTTAAACCTTATATGAGAGTTTATTTCTCAGATGTTAAATAATTATGTATTTGTTGAAATTTTAAAAAACAAGCAATAAAAAGCTACATGTAGACGAATAATAGCTACTTATATGACTCATTAAGATTGATATAATGAATTTACATTCAATACTCAAATTCAAGCAAAAAATTACGTTGTTTTTTATTTTCACGTCATTCGATGATTATACAATAAACTTATAATTCCCATAGTTGAAATATTTGAGTGATGTAGGTGTTTTATTTATAAACAGAAGAGAGTTCTTTCGATACGTACACTTTCGGTAACAACCAATCATCATGCTGGATTTATAAATATGATTTCAGATTTTTTCACTTATTACAATTTATATGCTTTGAAGAGCTTTTTTTGCATTTCATAACCTTCAATCTAACTTTCATATTTTCTTATATGATTGTTTCTTTTTCATTATTCTATTCAATATCCTTTTTCATAATTCATAAATAATTTATCTAGGTTTCAAATATCAATTTACGAATTAATTTATTAAATCTATATATACATGTGTAAACGTGTATTACATATTATTTGTCTGATTCAACATTTTATGAATTTCTTTTATAAGAAAATTTAGTGAATTATGTTATGGTTCGGGACTTTATGCGCGAGGTTGTTGTTTGCGGTTTTCGATTATAAGCTTTGTCAAGTATTAATTGATCCCTAATGAAATTACTTTCTATATTGTTAATGGAACGTTTCATAACTATATTATCATTATGGTTATCCTTACATGACTTATGTAAATATTTACGTACCGACGTAAACTTTGAATAGCAATAAAAAGGCAGTATGTGCTTTTCATGTAAATTTGTGTAAAATAATTTACATATTATTTATGTATACCTTGTTGTATCGTATTATTTTGGTAATTTAAAATTATCTTATTTGAATGATATTATATTTATGATATTTAATAATATAACTCGGATTTGATCTAGCAAGCCAGTTTCCAAATAATATAGATCATATATACATATACGATATCAGAATACCTATAATATGTATATTATATTCATGACATATTTCTATTAATTTAAAAATTTAAGATATATATTAGGTTGTAAATTTGGAATTAAAATTATTATTATTTAAGCTAATAATTAATTTAAAATTTCGATTATGATACCGTATCTCTAGGAGTAGCAGATAGGTCGATAGTTCGCGCGGCAAATAAAGAAAGCATAAAGTTTTAAATTTTTCTACTACACCTCCTAATTATATACATGTGTTATAGATAGGTTATTTGTTCGTTGCTCACGTTTAAGATTATACCAATTACCGATAGGTCGAGTGAATTTAAAATTTTTTACGGTATAACTCGGTATAACGGTATAATTTATACTTCGAGATCATAGTAAAGGAACTTGGTACGTTATAAATATTTAAGTCTAAAACAATTATTATATTAAGCAGGTATTATAACTAAAAGAAATCATTTACTGTCCAGTTTGCTTACAATTCTTCGGTGTGCATTAAAAAATTAAAATTATTATATATTCCAATTAATTATTTAATTTATTTGTAGAGAATAATATTTATAGATTAATATTTGATAAAAAAATGCAAGTGGATTTACAAAAGCGTGAAAACACTCAAACTACAATATTAGCATTATTAATTACACGTAAAGGAGGATGTACTTTAAAGCAGCTAAATAATGATTATTATGAGTTAGAGGGTGAACATATACCATGGAAAGATTTAGGATACAACTCTTTATTAAGTTTTCTACATAGTATGTCAAAAACAGTACAAATAGAACATAGAGATAGCACAATTATTATACGTGGTATTGCATCAGAGAAATCCAAACATGTTAGTAAATTAATAGCCGGCCAAAAAACTCAGAAACCTTCAGTTGGAAGAAAAACACATAAACCAAATCACTATTTTCCTACAACTGCTCCTAATAGAATTCGTATACCAGCTGAGATATTAAGCAAGGTACTCAGTTTAGTTAAAGATAAACCTAATGGCTTAAATAAGGATTATATACTTCAAGAAATTCATTCACGCATGCCTTTTGTGAAAATTACTATGAAAGAAATGGAAGAACAGTTACAAGAATTATCACATAGAATTTTTCAAACAAATAATAAGGTTTATCCAAACCGATCTAAAGTTAAGAATTTTAATAATTTAAAAGGCCGCAATGATATGTCCCACTCTAAATCCAAATTGCCAATTGTCACTGCTGCTGGAAATGAAGATTCAGATGATATGTTAGATTGTGAAGATGTCTCTGAGGTTACACATCTCAATCGTACATCTAAACCTGATTACACAAAGTCAGATACAAAGACCACATCTACATCTAGTTTCATAAAGGAAACTAAATACCAAGAAATGCAACATAGTAATGATATTAAAACGAAATTTGATGATGATATAATGAAAGCTAAAGAAAACGTTTTAGATAAGAAAGATATTGAAATACTTATAAATGAAAGAATTAAATTTCGTTTGGAAAAGCTTATTCAAAACCACTCTGACGGGATTTGGTGTGCTGATCTACCAGAAAAATATTTAGAAGAATATAAAGTTTCTTTGAATTATGCAGAACTTGGTTTTAATAGCGTTAGAGAATTTGCATCACAGTTACCTGAAATCTTTCATTGCATTCAACCTGGTGACACAGGAGATTTCATGCTTTATTATGCAAAGAGGGAAATACCTTCAAATAAACTAACAAAGAAACATGAAGCTAATAATGTTGCACAGTTGTATGATATTTATGAATCAAGTAATGAAGAAGCAGTTCCAGCATCAGTGGTAAAGATTCTTTGTTTCAATGATTTAAGAATTTTATTAACTATTTACAAAAATTAAATAACATTAATTTCGTAACATTTTATTCTTAGTCGCTCGATACATGTAAGAAGTTAATACCAGATAATGTAATGAGTATTGGAGACTATGTAGGTTGCATAAACGTTGCAGATTTAGAACAGAATGAAGAACCTTTTATAGAAGTTATTGTTGTAGAAGTCTTCACACCTTCATTCTTTTGGATACAACTTCGTAAAAAACAAAAGACATTTAAAATGTTCATGGATGATTTACAGTATGTATAATTACACTAAACAATTATTATAACTATAGTTAGACAATTATAATTCATAATATTTATATTAATAATCGTGTTCTACAGTAAGTTTTATACAGTGCAATATGAACAATATGCAATTCCACTACTTGTACTAGAAAAAGGTTTGAATTGTGCATGTGTATACAATGGAATATGGCATAGGGGTATAATTAAGGCTGTGAAACCAGATTTTCAAGTGACTGTAAGTATAAGTAGTGTGTTCAGTTTAAACATATACCTACTGTTGTTTCTCTATTATTCCTATGATATATTGACATATTATTTGTATTTAATGTAACAACTATTATTTATACTAATTTATTACAGGTAATGTTTTATGACTATGGAACACTGAAAACATATTCTCCCGATGCAGTATATTACTTACATAAAAGGTTTTCCATCCTGCCAGCACAGGCAATACCATGTGGTTTAATTAATACTAGGCCATGTACAGGATCTAAATGGTCCCGTAGTGCTACTCATCATTTTGCACTAAGAACATCTGATATACCTTTAGTTGCAACAATTGCAACAATTAATAAGGAGGTAAAAATATTTAAAAAATTCAAGTATCTATTTTTTGTGATCTATATTTGAATTAAATTTGTTTTAAAATAATTATGAATATCCTGGGACTTCTTATTACAGGATAATTCAATGATGGTAAATTTGACTGACACATTAGAAGATGAAGATGTGCACATTAGTGATTGGTTAGTGGAGCAAAAGCTAGCAGAATATGGAAAAATGGTTTGTATTAAAAAACGGAATTTTCCAGTTTGTTATTACTTAGAGTGTCAAGAGCGTTCTAAACGACAAAAATTTAACGACATTCATAGAGTAAAGGAAAAATTGTCCAAAAATTCTGGAAATAAAATAGTACATAATCCAGATTCTGACATAGGCTTATCACACAGTAGTAATTTTAATGAAGTAAATAGTAATAAAGAAGATTCCTATAATAAATTGATTTCACATCAAGGAAAGAGCAAAAGATCAGAATATTTTGAATCGACTAATTCCTCTAAAAATGATTTTTTAATTGAAAAAATGCATGGTTCTGTCACAAATCCCGAAAAGAAACATCCAAGAAAAACAGGATCCTTATACAAAATGTTATTACATCTTAAATTAAAATCTATTGATTCTACTAAAATTAATAATGATAATAGTGATAGTAGTAATAATCAAATTTGTGAGACCATAGCAAATAAAAAATGTTTAGATTCAAGTTCTGTATTAAATCAACCCATTGAACAAAAATCGTACGAAAAGTCTGCCACATCATGTCATAATAATATAGAACATAATAACACTGCATCTGATACTTCGTCTATTGATCTTTCTGCTAATGACGAAAAAAATAGTAAAACTTTAGATAATGAATGTAATATTTTGAAAGAGCGTACCAATATTCCTGAACAATATGGTTCTGTCACAAATCCTGAAAAGAAACATCCAAGAAAAACAGAATCTTTATACAAAATGTTATTAAATTTTAAATTAAAATCTATTGATTCTACCAGAATTAATAATGATAATAATGATAATAATAATAATCAAATTTGTGAGACTATAGCAAATAAAAAATGTTTAGATTCAAGTTCTGTATTAAATCAACCCATTGAACAAAAATCGTACGAAAAGTCTGCCACATCATGTCATAATAATATAGAACATAATAACACTGCATCTGATACTTCGTCTATTGATCTTTCTGCTAATAACAGAAAAAATAGTAAAACTTTAGATAATGAATGTAATATTTTGAAAGAGCGTACCAATATTCCTGAACAATATGGTTCTGTCACAAATCCTGAAAAGAAACATCCAAGAAAAACAGAATCTTTATACAAAATGTTATTAAATTTTAAATTAAAATCTATTGATTCTACCAGAATTAATAATGATAATAATGATAATAATAATAATCAAATTTGTGAGACTATAGCAAGTAAAAAATGTTTAGATTCAAGTTCTGTATTAAATCAACCCATTGGACAAAAATCGTACGAAAAGTCTGTCATATCATGTCATAATAATATGGAACATAATAACACTACATCTGATACTTCGTCTATTGATCTTTCTGCTAATGACGAAAAAAATAGTAAAACTTTAGATAATGAATGTAATATTTTGAAAGAGCATACCAATATTCCTGAACAATATAGTTCTGTCACAAATCCTGAAAAGAAACATCCAAGAAAAACAGAATCTTTATACAAAATGTTATTACATCTTAAATTAAAATCTATTGATTCTACCAAAATTAATAATGATAATAGTGATAGTAGTAATAATCAAATTTGTGAGACCATAGCAAATAAAAAATGTTTAGATTCAAGTTCTGTATTAAATCAACCCATTGGACAAAAATCGTACGAAAAGTCTGTCATATCATGTCATAATAATATGGAACATAATAACACTACATCTGATACTTCGTCTATTGATCTTTCTGCTAATGACGAAAAAAATAGTAAAACTTTAGATAATGAATGTAATATTTTGAAAGAGTGTAACGATATTCCTAAACAATATGCTAATCATTTTGATATTCAAGAATCAGAAGACGAAGTATATATTAGTGAAGCGAAAAATTTTACTGATGCACATGAAGTATGTATAACAAAGAACATAAATTGGTCTATTATTTTGAAAAATGCATTGCAAGAAAAGAACTATATAACACAAAAAAATGAATCGGAAATATCTCGTGAAACATCTATTAGGAAACAAAGTAATGTACCATTAGCTGAGAATTGTTTCTTGAATGTAGTATATAATAGCTCTTATTCTGCTTTGCATGATAAAGATATACACTGGTCATCAACTGGAAATATTGCTAAAATGTCAAATGTATCTCCATTAATTTTAGAAAATATTGAAAGACGTAAAAAGCGCATAAAAGATAATGTAATAATTGCTATATCACAAAAAATATTAGGGATGTTGACAGACGAAAAATTATATGATGCATCTAGAAATGTAAAAGATACGCAACCTATAAGTTCATCACAGAAAACTAACAACACTAGTGTTGAAAACGATACTAGTTTAATTGCTTTAGAAAATTATGAACAAAATGATTACATTTGTACGAAAACCATTACTTCCAAGCAAAAATTATTGGAGAAATTATCATCAATAAAAGATATATCAAATGACAATTCAAGTTTAGATTCGGACGATTTAAGCACATTAACAGAATCTACATCATTTCATTGTAATATTGATGGTAATAATAATAATAATAATAATAATAATAATAATAATAATAATAATAATAATAAATGTAAAAAGTATGAAAGCAATACGAACATTCATGAAAGTACATCAAATGAATCTTGGCGAGAGATTGATGTTGAATGTTCTGTTAAAACAGAAGCAATAAGTTCAAACACACAGGAATTCTTTAAACCTACGATCAACAATTCGGAAGTATATGAGAAAGAAGAAATATCCAAATCTGCAAATAACCTAGAAGATCTGACCCTGGTATCAACATCATCACAGCAATCAACAACAACAGAAAAATCAGATTTGATAGAAAATATTAATTGTTCAGAAGAATCATCATTGAATGTAGAAGTAAAAGAATCAGTAGAATCAATGAATATAGAAATAAAAAAATCAGAAGGATCAATGAAAAAATCATTATTGAGTGAGGAAACTAGACAAACAGGAGTGGTATCAGTCGAAGAATTAATACAATCTAACACAGTAATTGAAACGTCCAACATACCAGTTAATGATGTTAATACAGAATCTAACAAAGGAGAACAACAATTGGATGCATATATATCACATGCTGAGCTTTCTAATCTTCCTAAAACTACGTTTAATGAGAGCGCTCAAATTAAATTCTGTGATAATGAATTTGACTCACATTTAAGTACAGCAGAAATAAACGATTCAAATTCAATTGAGGATGGAAATTGTATAGAAACTTATGAAAATACAGAAAGTGATACTCATGAAGTTATATATTCAGATAGAATCAGTAATCAGGAGGATAAAATGGAAGACTTGACAAATAAAAGTATCAAATTTGAAAGTCATATACCCGTAATACATTCTGAAAAAAATTCAGAGAGAAATAATAAATATATGTCTGATCTAAATTATAAATCACAAGGTAAACCGAGAACATTAGTAGAAATGTTAAATAATAAATGTAAAAAGTATGCAAATGATACAAACATTCATGAATGTACATCAAATGGATCTTGGTCAGAAATTGACATTGAATGTAAAAAATATGAAAGCAATACAAACATTCATGAAAGTACATTAAATGAATCTCGGTCAGAGATTGATATTGAATGTTCTGTTAAAACAGAAGCAATAAATTCAAACTCACAGGAATTCTTTAAACCTACGATCAACAATTCGGAAGTATATGAGAAAGAAGAAATATCCACATTTGCAGATAACCTAGAAAATCTGGCCCTGGTACCAACATCATCACAGCAATCAACAACAACAGAAAAATCAGATTTAATAAAAGATATTAATTGTTCAGAAGAATCATCGTTGAATGTAGAAGTAAAGGAATCAGTAAGATCAATGGAAAAATCATTACTGAGCGAAGAAACTAGACAAACAGAAGTGGTATCAGTCGAAGAATTAATAAAATCTAACACAGTAATTGAAAAGTCCGACATACCGGTTTTTAATGATGTTGATATAGAATGTGATGAAAAAGAAGAACAATGGGATGTACATATACCATATGCTGACCTTCCTAATCTTCTGAAAAGTGTGATTGATGGGAGTACTCAAAATAAATTTAGTGACAATGAATTTGAGTCACGTTTAAGTACAGCAGAAATAAAAGATTCAAATTCAATTGAGGATGGGAATTGTATAAAAACTTATACAAATATAGAAGGTGATACTTATGAAGTTATGTATTCAGATAGAATCAGTAATCAGGAGGATAAAATGGAAGACTTGACAAATAAAAGTATCAAAGTTGAAAGTCATATACCCGTAATACATTCTGAAAACAATTCAGAGAGAAGTAATGAATGTATATCTAATCCAAATTATAAATCACAAGGCAAAGCGAGAACATTAATAGAAATGTTAAATAAAGCGAAGTTATTGCAAAAAGATCGTTCATATAAATAACACAAGTACTTAATTTCATGCCCAAAAGAATTAAAAATTTCTGATTTTTACAATTCATGCTCATTTTTAACTTTGTTCTTTTCTCTTAGATATCATGTATAATCAATATATTGTTTTTATTATATAATACTGCTATATATTTGTTTACTGTAATTGCTTAATTACAGTGTATTTTTACATGTTAATCAAAACAAATTGGCTTTTCTGTTTTTTGGGAAAAATACGACCTTTATGTTATTACAAGTCTTGTATCATGTGTTTATTTGTTACTTATGTAATAAAAACTTTTAGACAAAAAATCAACCGTCTACATTTTACTATATACCAATAGTTTTATAATATTCTTACATAATACATAACAATCTCATAAAGTGATAATTTTTCCCAAACTAATCAATTTAAAGAGTATGCACATATTACTAGTTAAATACATAGGATATAATATTATTTGATATATCTTTTATTCTTTTTTAATTAGGAAAATAGTGTTGATATGAGTAATCTGTTGCTTTATGTGGAAGAGAATTTAATATTTATGCCTGAACGATGTTATGAAAAGGAGACTGACATATATAATGGCAATAACGAAAAATTATCTGAAAATGCTACTGATGTGCCCTTGGTATCGCCACAAAGTGTCTTAAATGATATGTTCATTAAGCCTTCATCAGAATGTACACTATTTGATGAACAAGAGATACTGCTAGCGGAAAAAAACATTCAAGATCAAATTTTTCAAACCAATTCAACTTTTAATAAAAGCAATACTAATCCATTTTTACAAGCTGAAACTCCTTATGGTCAAGTTAATAATGACAGAAGCTCACAAAAGTTTATGGAATTATGGAATGAAAATTTGCAAATGCAAATACAATACTTAACGCAAATAAACGCAACACTTCGTTTACTTCTTTATGAAGTAATAAAAAGCTCTCTAAAGAATAACAGTTCAACATACGATAAAAGTACACTAAATATGATAAAAAGCGTACTTTTGAATATTAATAAACAAATGCCAATATTTGTAAATCCCTTACATGTAAACACTGAAAGTGCATATGAAAATATTTCTTCAAATGGAAATGTTCATACCGAAAAAAAAACTGCTATAAACAAAAATGTTGACTGCCCTGTGGAATATGTTTCACCTGCTACTATAAATAAGCAGCCATTAACTAGTAATTTTTATGATAGAATTCATTCTCATATTGACTCTTCTCAAAATAATTACATTCAGGATGAAGATAGAAATTTGAATACAGTGAATTATAATTCTTTAATATTTGGAAGTAACGATACTAATGCAATAAATCAATCTTTGCTAAATCAACAGATGTCAGTAACATCATGTGTTTCTCCAGGATTTGGAAAATTTAGTAACAAATGTTTTACAAGTACTGATCTTTCAACACCTATAGAACATTCTATGCATAATGGAACGTCTTTCAAAGAAACAAATCCTTTCAGACTTAGTTTAGCAGGTAAATTACAAATACTTGATTCAGAAGAGGAAAAATGTTCTCATTCTAATGATTTATTATATACTTTAAATAAAAATCATGGCGAACATGATTTGATAACTTTTGAGAATGATAACTCCAATGCGAATCGAAATTTGGACGATCTTAAGAATAGATTATTTAATCATCAATATTATGTTTCTGACTTTCTGGAAAACAGAAGCGATGTTAAAAATAATTTATTTACAGAAAATGTAAAACCTTTTAATCATAACTGGAATGTGGATGATAATATTAACACAACATCCAAAAGCATTATCAGTGGTCAATCTACAGAACGTAGTGCTCACCAGAAAGAAATGGAGAATCAATGTTTTTCGTCATCCAAGAAATCTTTTATCGATGATGATTTACAGTTTGTTAAGGAAATATACAAACAGGAGCCAGTCCAGGCAAATGGTATCTCCAATTTTAATCAACTGTCGTGTGTACAAAGTAATGGTTTTGTTATATCAGAAGAAAATTTGAATTGTAGAAGTATTAACGAAAATGTTATATTTCCTCCAAATTATGATTTCAGTAGTTCTAGATCTTCTAGCTTATTACCTGTTAATATTTCAGAATATTTTCATTTAGCAAATAATACAAATATCGATGAAAAACATTTAACACGTTGTTCACTTACTTCTCATACATTATACAACTCATCTCCAATAATGGAACTTAATGAAGCACACAATGCTCAGAAATCAGTAATAAGTTCGGTAGACGTATGGAGCAAACCGCTGAAAGATACTACTGAATCAAATAATTACAGTAAAATTTGTTGGGTTTCTGAAAATAACGAAGAAGAAGTAATATGTAATAAAGATCAACAAGGAAATAGAATACAAAATTTTATTCCAGATGATACATCAGATTTTGAAGTTGATGCATATAATGCAGGAGCAAAGAACTCATATTTAAAGAAAACTGAGTTTACTGTTGGAAAAGTCATATACGTTCCAAAATGTCTGTCTGCAAATTGTAGAATGTTCTTTCGAGCAGTTGGTATGTTTTATAATAGTTATAAATATGGAAATTCCATACTGATGAAAATAATCTCACAATAATTTTTGTAGAACTACCCAAACAAATAATACATATATTTTATTATCAAGAAGAAGGATGGTTGTTAGTAGATGAATTCATTCAAGTACTTACTGAATCAGAGACCACTATAGATATGGCAAAATTATTATATGCATTCAATATATATGTCCAGTTTAAAGAAATTGATAGAACTAAGAATTCGATAGAATTTATAAAAAGTGGCAGGTAATTATCATAAATATTTTATTAAAGATAATATCTGTTATTCATTAAATGCAAAGAGAGAATATCTTTTTTAGTATATTGTCGAAAGCAACATATGATATAATAAATGGTAGTGATAAATTATGCTTAATACCATTGAAATCACTCTTAAAGGTATTATACAAATTGGAAATTATATCATATAAAGATATCAATAATATCTTTGTACATGAACAAATTGTAAATGGTTCAACTAAACATAAGATTTGGGTAAATATTATGATCATACTGCATTAAAACATGTAATATTTTGTATTCGTACATTGCATATAACACTAGGTTTTACTTTGTTTTAGTTAATTATCAATGCCTATGGAGAATTTAAATATTATATCGAAAATAGACAATAGTTAAGTAATGTTAACTAAGTATGTATATTTTATCAATATAACTATAGCAGTATATCATACTACATTAATATAATCTTTACAATATTGGTTATTCGTGCATAAATAATGTAATATAACGAAAGAAAGACAATAGTTTTCATTTTGTATTATTAGTAATTATGCGTGAAGATTAAGTTGGACTGATAAATTTAAGAAGGATATTTTGTTATATTCTACTATTAATTTCTTTTTTTTGTTTATTTTACTTTCAGTTATTAATTTGATTATAGTTTTATTTTGATTATAGGATTTAAATATATATATATATATACATATTTTCTTTTTCTTTAGATATTCTATCTTTTTTAAGCACTTAATAAACATCAGATTTAATTACGATATTACTTTAATACAAAGGTCAAATAGTTTAAGTTTAAAAATATACATAGTTATGAAACATGTGAAAATAAACTTTTGAAATATGTAAATAAATATACATACATGTATATAAAAGAATCATGTACACGGTATGTGATTCTTTTACATATATCATTAGATGTCACGTGCATTGAACACCCTCTAGTGGTGTTCACTTAAACTTTGCTAAGGAGACAGAAAAGAAGTATTATAGTCTAATTCGAACTGTATCAAAGTGACAATTAACATTTCAATTTGAATTGTGTATTAAGTAAACACGTAGATTTTTTTTTACTGAAACATAATGGCAAGCTCGAACGACGCAGAACACGGGCTTACTGGCTTATCGAAATATTTTAATAGTGTCACCGAACGTGGTCGAGCAAATGTAAGTAACCTCAAAATCTGCTATTTGTTCTATTGACGATATAGAATTTTCTAGTTAATATCTTAAAAGTTGTATCACAATTTAATATGTAGTGACACTATTTTCCTTTTTACAGGTGGCTTTGTCATCAATCGGTGGAATGATTGCTCTAGGCCTATACTTCTATTTAAAACCAAAAAGTAAAAAGACAGACGAAAAATGAATCAATAACAAGATTAAATACAGTAGATACATTATGTAATATTAATTTCTGCGTTACTTTAGTCTCATTAAGAATAAAGAATTATTAATTATTAAAACCTCATCATTTATTTTTATTAATATATTGCAATGTATCAAAATTTTTAGAACAAGAATTTTTAATTTTTTATAAATTAAATATATTTTAAGTCTAAAAATAAATTTAACTGTACCTATACTTACTATCTTTGTATGGATGTTTTAATGTTCATAATATTATTCAACTATGATGTAGGACAATCCCATTTAATATAGGGCATTATTAATAAAAGGAACAGTATGAAAAATGTGTTTACGTAATTAATTATAAATTAAAATATCTACAAAGCTGGAATGGTTCTGAATAGCTACAATCGCAAGGAAATAATATCTACAATTAATTTACGATGATATATTTTTATTGCCTATACTATTTATATAATCATAATAATTTCGAATTTAATTACCTATTAATCGAAACCTTGTGATTAGAATATAATGTATATTTATGTGATTCATACTATTTTTTATCATATAACTATGAGAGCGTTTATTTTCCCTCTATTTAACCCTAAATTTTGATATTACTACTTTAAGAATGACGTAGTTTGGTTGCTAAACGTTTTTTTTTTAAATTCAAATCAATCAAAATTCATCACGAAGTTCTAACTAAATCAGTTCTCGTTTTTTGTATTTATACATATCATTTGTAACATTTTGTGTTGCTTATAAAAGTTTGTACGCTTGATAGAAATAATAGAACAAAATATATCGATAACATGTATATCTCCTTTTACATGAAATATTCTTAACAAAAGTATATCGACGTTCACAGAAGAATTATTGCGACATAATATAAAAGAATCTAAACGATCTACTCATAGTAAATAATTTCAGGTACATGTTTGTATCCCATTCTAAAGTACTAAGGTATAGATCTAAAAAAATAAAAATACAGGCATACTTTTTTAGTTATGAGATAAAAGATTTCAATGAAGTGAATAACGTGCTTATTTTACACGGAGGGAAGACCGTTATATGATAAACATAAATATTAATTATTACATATATGAATGTTTTTATTTTTTTGATCAGTATAATACACCTTAGCATCTTAGAATAATAAGTGAGCTATAACGAATACAATATTTTTGTGTTTCAATGTTTCGGTTATACACATCCAAGTATTCTATTATAAATGACGTTTCGAAATAACCGAATTGTTTCGCGATCTAAATATTTATTTATTTTTTATCCTTTTCAAGATACAAAATCGAGTGAAATTTTATTCCTATCGAATTTGGATATTATTTACATTCGTTCAAACATTGTAAGCAGTGCTGGAGAAATGTTGATAATACTGTATTTGCGTAAATTTTTGATTCTTGTTTACAAATAAATTCAGCCTCTTTATAAGAATAAGAGTAATGGGGAACGTTGATCTTATTTTAGTCATTTCTCTTTCAATGCCTGTTTTCAGGAAAGATAGTGGACATTATAGATATAACTTATACACCAAAAATAAGTTTCATCTATAAGTCTCTATTTAAACATATCAAAATAGTTTGAGTATATTTACAACTTGCTAAAATTTTTGTGGATTATAACAACGCGAGAATGCCTTTTCGTGCAAGGTAATCACTCCTTTTGTAGGTTTTGTAACAAGTAAACACGTACTGATTTATGTTTTGTTTTTTCAACAATATTCTTGTTTCTGAATATCTTTTGTTTGTCTAATAGTCGAAAAATATATTTTTTCAAATATTATTATTTTCTTCCTAATTCGTGCATCAAACTTCGGAGAACGATGACCTTTTACACATATTTAAGTAATGTTTATTCATTACGATGATAAAATGTCTCGTATACAATATGTACATTATGAAGCAGTTGTATGAAATCTGTGACAAAATGCATCGCATTTCTGAAATTTCTGTGATTATTATATGATATTAAAGTCTTTATAAAAATAAGTATGTGTAAATTGTTTTATCGATGGTAACTGTAAAAAAAGAAGAAGAAGAAAGATAACAAGTGTACGTAAAACTTAAATAAAAATTGAAATAATTCGAGAGATTGAATTATTATTTAATAAAATATGAGAATAAATTTACAATATCGATGCTGTTTTTCGTCCGAAAATTAACTAGCAAGACAGATAAACACCAATATTTTCGAGCTTATCTGATTACATTCAATTTGAATGATTTTTGTACAAAAAGATTTTCTTATTTCATCTTATTTGGTGCACAAAAGATATTCATTGTGATTCATGAATGATCGTCGACTTATTGCGATTAGATTAAATATTTAAGATTTATTACAAAGAAGAATTTACATCTTTTTTACTCCACCCATTCTGTGTGCTTGATGTTGCGGACATCTGACTAGGGCTTCTGACAGGACTCCTTGCAGGATAATACACACAAGGTCCTGGACTGGCTGGTCTTGCTGATATTTTCACGCTTTGTCGCATACTGCCATTCGAGACATTGTTATTTCTGTTGATAGTACTCGATCTGTTTACGTGATAATGTCTGATAGAGTTCCTTAATTCTATATTGGTCATATTGGTAACGATCGATTCGTCGTAAGTTTGAAATTCTGGACTGTCTCTGCCAGGTCGGAATAACTTTGAATTGCAAAACAGCTTCAAAAATATCCTTTTGAATTTCCTACCGAAGATCACGTAGATAATGAAATTGATGCTACTATTGATTGTCACGAGAAGATTGCCTGTCTGCACCAACCAATGTGGCGGATCGCTGAAGAAGGTCTCGTGAATGTTCGAGGCTAGCGGTAGGATGTTACAGATCAGGAAAACGATCACCACGCAAAGTAACATGGTTGCTAGTCCGATTTCGCGTCTTTGATGTCGAGAAAGCTGTTGCAAATCTCTATTTGCTTTTCTCACCTGAAACATCGCATTATAATTTTATAATCAATATCTATTTGTAGTAAGAAGTAACTTATTTTTTAGAGCAGCGTTACCTTCGCTCGATTCGAAATGAAATCAATTTTACACGAATCAGATACAATAAATCAGCTTGTGAAAAAAGAGATGTAATTAATTTTGCGTTCGCTCAGCTATGCAGAATGATTAGAAGAAGTTCGGCAATGATTCATAAAGATTCTGAATAGATATAGAAAATCGAAGAGAAATAAAGTTGTGTAGATAAAAGAGTGACTGCATGTGCAAGAGAAATGAACGAGTTGGAAAATGAACATGATAAAACCTGTATTCATAATTGCATTCTGAAGTGTATGCATTTATAAACTTTGCTCCAAATAGGTATGCTCTTACGTGTGTACGGTAACATGTTAGGAATTGCGATGTTGCATTTGCATTACAGTTTCTTCTCTTTTACGGTGATACTCTGTATAATAACTTGGAAATAATAAATGGATTTGAAGTACTCTATGTTTTGAAAATAATAATAATCCGCGATATTAAGATATTACTGAAATTTTGCTTTTTTTTTCAAAACGACACGACACGATTTATTTTACTTACCCTTTGGTAAATGGCAGCGTTGAATATCACCAAAGCAAGAAAGGGAAACAGGTAACAAATAAAGAAATACATCCAGTGGACGTAAACGGTGACATACAAGTTGTTGCTTCTCAAGTCTGCCGGATATATGCAGTATATAGTAACATTGTACTTCCAATGAACTTCCGCATAGTAATCTACCTCCCAAAATCTGTAAAAAAGATAAAAAGAATGTATTTTATATTAGCGGTGTAATTCAAGCTTAAATCGGCTGGAAGTGAAATTACTCACTTTGGTAGATTGTAAAGAAAGGAAAATAGCACGATAACCAATACTGCTAGTCGAGCTCGTCCGTACGTACAAAAAGACCTAGCTTGTAAAGGATGACATACTGCGATATATCTCTCTAGAGTCACAGTTAGAGTCAAGTACACCGTTGCTATTTGCGCTATGCATGATAATGGATATAAGAATCGGACTATCTTCGGGTGCACGATGAACTTATAGTCGAACAGCTGGCCAGTGTACGTGTAAATAACAGGTAAGCCGTAAATTAATATCTGAAAATATCATAAACTTTCTTTTCACTTAATACTTTATCTTTTCTTTTTTCGCTTATTATTTTAGCGATATAACGAAAGCTGTTTGCAGTTGGATGAAAGCGAATTTTTCATTAACAATTAAAACTTAACTAGAGAGAATCTCTCTCTTTCTCCCTCTAGAGTAATTAATAAATTGGATGGAGTCTCTAAAAATGTCATATTTTCGCGCGTATAAATTGTATTTGAATTATCTGCAGGTATCTTTATCTATCATCTAAAATATCTTTTGATACCGATTTCGAAATTATGGCGATTCGCGAAATGTGACGATTTATAGATACGTGTATTTTTACCGAGATTAGAAATTCCAATTAGCAATAATTATTTGCGTTAATAATTAATAAAGCATATGTATTATAACTTGTTTACAAACAAAGCATTTGACAAAGAACAATAAATTAACGAGGTATTCATCGTAATCTGTATCCAAGTAACTTTATTCCAGAGATTGGCCCGTAGTTATAAACTCGCGATGACTGAACGTTCGTATATTCTATCGTGCAAGGAATTATGTATCTCCCGTTTGCTTCGTAGGTGGTTGCGATTTAAGATTCTTCTTTACCTAGTCCTTTTAAACTACTTTCTCGTCTTTAGAAGATAATGGTGGCGTAAATTTTTTAAAGTTTCAACTTGAGCGTTTAGGAACTTCCGTGTTAAATATTTTGTCGACACGATTTAAAAGTGATCGTTCCGACTAACAAACTTACTTACCGAAATGATAATTAAGACGGTGTCGCATCTGGCTAGGCCAATTAACAAGTAATTGATCGACGATTTCATTTGCGGCCTCGAGAGAATGATCATCGAAATCGCGTTGCCGAATATCCCAAAAAGACCGACCAGATTCATCAGCACGCCATAGATAATGAAATCAAACAGACCGTTCGAATTGATTTCCTGTTTACATTCGAGTGGTTCTCTCGTGGTCTCTTTAATCGATAAATTTTCCAATAATTGTCCAGCATCGTAGTAACTGGTGCTGTTGAAAATTTTGAGGCTTGTTTCCATCGTTTTCAAGTATCTCCGTTTTTTCTTTTCACCCGATTCTTCATCAGTCTTTTTCTTTATTTCCTTTCAATCTCATGCTTCACTCTTCAAAAATATTTCTCGTCTTTATCACTTATATACGTATCAGTACCTATGTAATTAGATCGTTTTTTCACTGTAGATTTTTCTTTCAGGAAAAGATTCACTCGGGAATGAATTTGTCTTTGTTACTTTGCTTCGAACGATTTAAGCTTATGTTCGATGTAATCCTTCGGTACGTAATCTTAAGACGTTCGTCTTATTGTTATTTTAATTCGACTCTCACTACCTTTTGACCTTGTGAGAGCCGAGAACTAATAGTTTTGGTAACATGACGAATATTTTATCGAAATCCCAAAGTGTTATCTAGTTTCGTATCGTTCTCGCGTGTTCTGAAACAGTATCGATTCTAATTCGATTTGCTCGATCTTCATGACAGTTTTGTTAACTTCTTGTGTGTACATCTGCGATATATCGTAATTTCACAGTTTCATATTCGTCTCCCTATTTCCAGTTTTCCATTTGCAGGAATCTGTAATCAAAAAGTATGAAATGTATACTGAAATGTAATTTCTCATTTATTTTTATATGTATATTTTATATGTATTATATGTATGTATATATATGTATATAATAAATACATATACATAAATATTGTAATATAAATATAAATATCTTAATTTAATTTTTGTAACTTGTATTGATATAATAATAAATAAATGTAAAAGTATATAATACATAAATGTATATATGTATTCTGTGTAATGGGAATAAAATTCTAATATGCACCGCCAGAGATCGGGATCGTCGCGCCCTGTTTCTTTTTAAAAGACAATACAACGCGTATTGTAACTTATGTAACTTATGCTATGTGTCCTTAATCGCGTAACATTCAAAAACGGTGCGTCAAGCGTTGATCGAATCGACCGAAAGTTTGTCTGCTTCCCCGTCGCAAAAACAATACATATGTTTCTATATAGCGGAAGTGTATTTGTAGGCATTGACATCGACCTTATTCGGTAAACAGTAGCACGGAGAGAAGGTAGTAAACGTAACTGGCGAACTACATCCACTATCTGTGATCCAGTGATTTCGTGAGTTTCGAGCTTCAATGGTTCAACCGATAACAAAGCTTTAAATATCAACGGCGAGGCGAAACGAACGAGCGAAATGAACGAATTATAAACGTACAATGAGAGGGAAAAACGAAGTCGTGTTTTACAACAAAACGAGAGCGTTTGAACGCTTGCCTGCCATTGTATACCGAAAGGGCCGATCGGATTAAGAAGCTGCGACGCTACTAGAGTGTCTGTAAGTCAAAAATCTTACAAGTTTTTATAAATAATGCATGCGTAGAATATATAGCGTTTGAATACCGATAGAAACTTTGCACGAATAATTTTTAAAAGTCTATTAGCGCTATAACGACACAGGGCCATCATGGTATATCGGTAAAATTTTCAACGAATCTGGAAACGTATATAAAAATTAAAAGATATTTGTTGCAATCATACATGCATTTCAGATCACTATTCTCGCTTTATCATATTTATTTGTATTCGCGACAAATGCCTCTTCTACGTTTCTACATTTTTCGATCGACTTTATGATTTTTTGATTAATTAATTGTAACATTCTTGGAAATCATCTTCAAGAAGTTTCGCATAACTCATACAGTATGTATAGTGAACAATTTTCTGTGCTAACATAAGTATCAACCTGTAAAAATAGCGAGAACATTCTATACAGAAAAGTTTAGTAAATTTAATAAAATCGACGATTAATCGTCGATGATATTGATTGGTAAAGCAAGGCATAGGGGGCAAGGCATCGCTGTTTAATCGATCGAACGATCGGTTCGATACAATCTCCGCCATTTCGAGTATCGATTGGTACGTTTCAACGAATCGTTAATTCGTCCTTTCCTAATGTCGGTGTCGTCGATTTTGCAAACGAACGAGAGTTTCCCTTTTTGATACAACACTGATTCAACGCATCGATGTACCGTTGTTTTCGATAGAAGCTATCAAATGCCGTTTAAACTTGAAAGCGTCGATTCAGATTCGTTTTAGACAGTTTGCGCGCAAATTCGCAGCGGTAGACAGCTTAGTGGGCGAAGTAAAGTAGAAACTATCGATCGTTTATCATCGACAAGCGATTAAACTCGATATCTTCGGTCGCCAAAAAGGAAGAGGAAAAGAAGAGAGAAACGTAAGAAGAAAGAACGGGAAAGAAAAGTTTTCGAAGGAAGAATCGAGGCCATTTAAGAAATTTAACTTTATCGCGTATCTCTCACGAATGTGCTGCACGAGCGAGAGTCTCATTGGCAACGCTTACGTTTTTAATCAAACTTTTGAGGAACCAAGTGCCGTCGTTCACTTTTGTTCTCGCGAAATTCTAGTTTCTTGTTCTGGATAAATTGTCACGAGTAGAGTGGTAAAGGGTGGTAATATGGCGCCCAGTTTTATATTTCTTCCTAAAATCTGATTGATAACTCAAACTGTTTTAAACCTTCGCGTAAAATGTTCGTAAACTAACAAGGTTATCCCTGACGAATGGCAAAAAGAAGAAAATAATTAAAGTTAGAAGAAAAACAATTTAATCGAACGTCACATGCTCTACGAAAAGAAGTCGTTTTTGGGGCTTGTACAAAAGCGAGGGTAATATGGCTCCCTAACAAAAATCATAACAAATTCTTTTTGCTAATATTTTAAGATCAAAAATAAATAAAGCGAATTCTTCTGCTTATATACAAAAATCACACCGCATATTCTTTCTTTTTCGCACGATGTGCATTCGCTATGTCCTCGTTATGAGAAAAGCTAACGACGCTTTAAAATATCTCTTCGATTTCCTTCTCTTAGGCTGTAGAATCTTCTCGATCTCCGATAAATATTTGTCCGCGGCATGTCTACGCGATTATAATATAAATAAAAAACGTTAACATGTTAATGGAGAGCAATATGCTCCCCGGGGGCTATATTACCCTCCGTTATGAGGAGCCAATATATCAACACGCGTAATTTCGAAAACTCTAGCTGTACTCTTGAAAATATCCAAAGATCGCGCTTGCGTCTAGTTAGAGGATTCGGCCGAATAACGTGCGAAAGTACGAACACCGCGTGATTCCTTGTGGGAAAAGTAAGAAAAAAAGTATAGAATAACATGTTTACACACTCGGCCTAGTTTTCGAGAAAATGGTTTTCGTTTGAAAATTTATCAAGTATGCTTGAACGTGGCTAATCGACAGGAAGTTTCGTTTTACATTGTGAAAATAAGTCGAAAATGGAAAATACAAAGCTTCGTTTTCAGAAAAATAAAATAGGATTTCAACGCGTTTAGTAAATCGTATTATCTCTCGTGGTACGAATTTGTCGCAATACGCGCATGTTCTCCGCTCTAATCGGAGAATCACTTTCGCACAATTTATTCTACAAGTTCGAATCGCTTATTACGTAGTCGTAACATTTTGAATAGATTTCTTAAATAGTTGATCGTTTTTGGCGGCTCGAATACTTGTTCAGCGAAAGTGTTTAGAATTCGTTAAGCGATAAAAATCACGTCTGTATCGTGGTATCTTCGTTGAACGTAATAATCGACGTTACGCGACGATGGTAGAGACGCGACTGAATCGAAACAATTAGAAACATTTTCGAATTGTTTTTCGAACTCGGTAAGTAAATACATCGACTAACCGTGACTAAGCACGAGAATATATTCGGACCATAGTCGTCACGTTTTATCTATTTTATGGAAAATCGTGTTCACTCGTGCGAAATAGTCGCTGCCTCGTTTAACCTGAATTATCTTGAAAATTTTTCACGATGCCGGTGGTCCGTAATGGAATTGCTTGAAATTCACTCGTGAATTAGCTTCCGCGGTATATTGGATTTCGAGGAAGTTAAGTAACTATCGTGGTTTTACCGTGACGCATAGCGAGTTCCTCGCGAGAACATTACGCAGAAATTATCATCATCTTCTATAAATATTCGTTAGACATAGTTTCACCTTCGAAGCAGCCAAATAATAGCTACGCATACGAGCTACGCATCTTTTATAAGGGCTGCGAGTTTGAACCAATTTTTGCCGATATGTCTCTGGTTAATTTCGATTGCGTGCAAATGATACGAAGAGATACTCGGTGACCGAGTACACGGTGCATTAGCCACGTCGCTTTAATCACGATTAAGGCTAACGACTGCGTACATCGTTGCTTGAATTAACGGTTTAATGAAAACGTCTCATCGGGTTGGCCTCTCGTTGCATAAAAATTAATCTGCCGATGTTGCTTCTTTTATCCGTATTCCGACGGTATCCAGATGCTTTCTCGTTGCTTCGTTTTGCGATACAAGTTTCATAAAGTGGTCTATGAATGTTTCATTCAACCTTAGACAGAATTATGCCGTCTTATCGACAATAGCGGAAATGGAGCTCTCTCTTTTATGGGAACGCAAATTACGTTGGTCGAACTTGTACGAATAGTTTTCGTAATATCGTTCGGGAAATAGATATAGAGGAAAGTACGTAATTCTCGCGTGAAATGGTTGGAAGTATGGATGCGGTAACCTCGGTGTAACGATAAGATCAATATCGATATTGGTTTTCAACTGGGACGGCGAACCAAATTATGTTATCATAATTAATGACTGGGTCGTAATTACGGCAAGAAGACTAATAAAGTCGTTAAGACATCTTCGACCTTAAATTATTATTTACGAGCTTGTACTTGTTACGGTTCGTCAAACGACCGCGCGATTCACCGACAGTATCGAAGAACTCGATGAATATTTCTTTTTCGATTCCGAACGTTCTTCGAATCGTTATAATTAATTCTATAAATTGCTATTATATGAAAGGAAAGTTTGATATCGGTGTTACATCGTCAAAATGTTAGATACCATTCGTTGAGGTATTTCGAGCTGCAAAATCCTTTTCGTTTCCACTTTTGCGTAATGGTGTGGTTGTCGAGAGAATAATTCACG